GTTATGGCATACGGGGATGGGGGCAGCTCGCGCTCAACTTCATCAACGTGGCGAGCCTTGCACGTGAGAGGCACAGTGGAGGTGGAGTTCAAAGAAGAATGAGAAATTTAATGGTTTCAATCTGCCCTCGTTTTTTTTTTTTTTTGTTTTTTTTTTTTGCATGTCATCACTGTGCCCGTTTTTTGCTTTTATTCTTTGTTCCGCAAAGTGCGCTCTTTTAGTTTGTAGTGATGTGACAATATATACTTTTTTAGATAAAACAGGTCCTTATGGCCCTGGCTCGATATCCATTCTGGGGAGCATCAGTTTGGTTCCCATTGCCCTGGCAAATCAGAGATACAAAAATGACGCACCCACGCTTCCTTCCTTTTGGCCGTAGACCCTGAGAAGCATTGATTGCTAGAATTGCTTGGAGGATTTGCTGTCAGCTTGCCTTCTTGCTGCATTTCCTCTCAGGTTTGACTTGCAGAACCTGCCAAATTGACTGAGTTCTGAGAAACACAGGAGGGGCATGGGTATAAACCCTCCGCCGCTATATATCCCAGAGTACTGTTGGAGCCGCTGTTTACACTGGGCACAGGCTGATATTGTGCAAATCCAGCTTCTTGCCGTTGTGGATCTGGCGGTTGGGTGGTCTGTATCCTGAGTTCCGAGTCGGAGTTGTGCCAGTCCTTCCATCTGAGGGTGCTGCCATTTTTTATGTCAGCCACCTCGTCATTTACCAACCATAGTCTCTTGAACTTGGCCATGTTTCTCCGCTGCAAGTCGGGATTGTCTGACATTGAGGGCTTGAGTTCTTGCCACTGGCACAGGATCTCGGCGGGAATCAGAGCGTTGGTGGATGCCCATACGCTGTCCCGTTGATTGTTGGAGCTGTCCAGAGTCCTGTTGCATCTCTTCTTCCAAATGGTCCAAAGAGTCCCCTTCCTTATCATGCTGAACCAGACCCTTACCGCCTCGCCAAAGGTAGAGGGAGTGTTAGTCTATAGGAGTTGGATGGTGTGCCGGGAACAGGTGCGCCCAAAGATCGGAGGTCTAGCCCAGTATTCTGTAGCCTCTCTGTGGCATACTGATACCACACGGGCCCCAGTTAGGGCCAGATTCTGTAATAGGCACGATTTAGGCCTAGGGACCGGGTCCCGACGGTCCCAGCCAGGTCCAGGTAGGCCTAGGAACCGTGGGTTCAGTGTGGGGTCCAGTAGGCCTCGTTTAGACCCCACCAGACCCAACGGCTAGTTGTTTAGGCCAGGTACCGGTCCATCGGTAGGCCCAGCTGGTGGCGCAGTTTTAGGCGCCACTTTTCAGATTCAATCGGATCTGAACCGTTGGGCCCGATCAACGGTCCAGACCCGAAGGCACTCAGTAGGACTGAGGCCGACCCAGCACTATATCAGCTGGGTACCAGCCTCAGTCGGG